ACCTGCGGGTCACAGGTTTTCAACGTCCCCCCACCGGAGCTTTGCATCAGGAGGCTCGGCTACACAGAGCCCAGAGGGCACTCCCCCGTCGCGGAACACCGAAAACAGCAACTGAGGCCCCGGCCGAAAAACTGCTGCCTACAAAGACAGTGTCCCTTGGTCCGCGACAGGAGGAGCTTCCCCCCCGGCCATCGCCCGCTGTTAGCGCGAAGCCGCCGCAACACAAGGGCACGACGCTAACATCATAAAGTACTGCGGCTGCCCGGGAAAAGCGAAAGAAACTACACTGCAAGACACGGTTCCCCCGGTGTCAGCGGGCACTGGCAGGGCTGTGCACTCCTGACTACTCGGCTCCTCGTTCCCCCGGCAGAAGAACAGCCTAAACCACTCCACTCTCTCATTGGCAATACGTCAACATTGCTGTGAACAAAGGGTTCCCCCGCTAGGTCACTCGGAGCAAAACTGTGGCACGCGGCGTGAGCCCCCTCCTCAGAGGCCTATTTGTAGTACAGGCTGGCACAGGAGAGTATTGTTGAAACACTACTGTCAAGACGTTTCTCTCCCCGGGGCATGCAAAAGCAACAGCGAGTACGATGCAGCAACGACTGAATGCCCCCGCAGTGCCATGTTACCATATTGGTACAGGGTCCGCTACTCGGGTGGAGCCCTAGGCTTGTGATCCCCCCCCCGGTGTGGTGCAAGCAGACAAGCAGACAAAAGGCTGGTTGTAAGGCCGCGGCCACCTGAAAGCTCATGCGGATGAAAAAGGGGGTGCGAGCGAGGGATCTGCGCTGTCGGTGCCCCCTGGTATTCAAGGGGCTCCTTTGAAATGTGCGGCCAAGAGTCGGCGGCGCCTATGGCTCTCCCCACTACTTGCTTCGGAACTCTGCGACTCTCACTGCCCCCGTCTCGTTCACTCAGGTCAACTTGCGGTGCAACTCCCCCCAGCGGCTGGCTCCAGGCGTGCCACGGCACGGTAGTGGCTAGCGACTGTGCTGTTTCCCCGGTCTCAGGCGGAGGTGCTTCTCGCAGCTCTTCTGGTAGTCCCCCCAAGCAAGGTGGGGAGTTCGCCGCCGCATTCACATCGGCCTCCAGGCTGTCCGTGAAGCAGAGGTCTGCTTGCGAGGTCGTCACCCCCCGAAGGCCGGTCCACTGCGGCACCAGGGGCTTTGGTCTTGAGCCCGGTCCTGTTGCGAGTCGGTCTGGTCCACGTAGTTCCCCCGCCGCTTCACCGTCACGTGCCGAGGTGGCTTGGCGTCCCCCCATAGCTTGCTGCATTGCTTCTACTGCGAGGGAGACCTGCTCGTCCACCAACATGGGCATGACTTCGCGGAACTTTTGGGCCGCTGCGGCAAGCTGCTGCTGGCGGTCCATCTCCCCTGGTGGTACTGGCCCAGGTTCAGCTGCAAAGCTTCGCTGCGCCGTTCCCCCCTCGGCCGGCGCGGCACTCTGGGGCAGGAAAGCGTCCCCCCTTTGCTCCAGTAGGAACGCTGCCGAGGAGACAAGTTCTTATAGTTCTTGCCAAAGCCGTCGGTCACTCCAGGCTGTTTCCCCCCGCAGCGTTGCATCTCGGGCGGCTGTGACCAGCATGATCCCCCTCTGCAGCGCACGAGCTGCGTGTTGGACCATTGGCTGCGTCACCGTCCGGCATGGGCTCATGGAGCTGCACACTCCCCTCCTCTAGCAAGCGGCACAAGTATGCCAGGTCCTGTGCTTGCTCGTCAAGCGCGGTGCTCCCCCCTCGGCTGAGTTGGCGCGCTATCATGGCAAGCGCATCCACAAGGAGGTTGGCTTCTGTGAGCGCTCGTTTCACCCCCCGCTTGCAAGTATCAGCAATCGCTCCTGTTGGGAAGAGCAGCGAGAGGAGCTGAGCTGCCACATCGCAAAGCGCCGTAATCGTGGCTCCCCCCCCGTGTGGCATCTCCGCTGCCGCATCATGTATGAGCTGGATCTGAGCACTCACGGCTTGCGCTAGGCTGTCACACTCCCTCCTGGTTGTTGCGGGTGTCCCCCCTTCCGCTGGTGCTGTGCTGGGGCTGCCGCGCTGCGTGAGCTCAGTGTGGTCTGGCTCCGGTGTGGGTGAAGGCTGTGGTGTTGGCCGCCCGTGCCTCCCCCCTATGTTGCGAGTGTCGCGTACCTGCTCGTACCATGGTGTGGGGACAGGAGAGGGAGGGGGGCCGGAGGCCTGGTCAGTTTGGCTGCGTCGCAAGGTGCGTCCGTCCCACAAGGGGTGGTGCTGTTGGTGTCCGACCTCCCCGGTCGTTCCCGCCGCCGCTGCTGCTGCAGGGTTGGGTTGTGTTGGCGGTGGGTCGTTGGAGCTGCCTGGCCGTGGGCC